AGTTGGTTATTCCATCCAAAATACCCTTCAAACTAACCTATATTACAGTCAATTTTGGACGACCGTTATCAATTTGGCCAAATCTTTCAGTGAATCTAGAGTCGGGAATTGATTTATTATCAAAATTAAAAGATCAATGATCAATTAATTAGAAATTTAAAAGATTAGAAATCAATTGCACTAATCGCCTTTTGTTTTAAGGAACGATGAGAAATCTCAAAAGGCTTTTTTCTAAAATTTAAAGATAGGATTTTTGTTTCTTTTTGCTAGACTAGTTAGAACTTAGAAGCATGCGCTTCACGCATGTACTTCATGCATTTTTTGAATACGAAAATTTAAAATTTGTTCTAAGATTTAGTTGTACTTATTTATTATTCTTCTAGTTGAGTTTTGTGAAACAAAACAATTTATTAGAGCACATTTAAAATGGAAAAAAACTAATAGAAAAAATCAGATAGTAAATTATTTATGGGGTTCACATGAAATTAGATAGTAAATTTTATTTATAATGATTAATCTAATTTATTTCAAACTTTACTTTTTTTTTTTTACTAAAAGCACCTTTATGTTCTAATTATATTGCGATGCGCTTCTATGAAAATGAAGAAAAACATGCATTAAATAAACTGTGGAGGAGGTTTTCACCAAAACAAAAACAAAAAACAAAAGGAAAAAAAATAAAACTAAATAGTAAAAGAAAGGGAACTTTCTCTTGCAGGGTCTAGTGCTAGTTTATGTAAAATAAACAATTTTTAGTACATATATGATGGTTAAAAGTAAAAAGATATTAATAGTTTATTTTCTCTGTATCTATCATAGAAACTCCTAAAGAAAAATAGCAAAAAAGAAAGATTTGGAAAAGGCAAAACAAAAAGGACTGAGAGTTGACAAATGACAAGCGGATGAAGAGGGATAGAAAAGAATTATAGAAATAGATATTAGAGAAAAGCAGGTTAAAGTTATCTTAAGGAAAGTATTTTGGTAATATATGAAAAATAACTTGTTAAAAGCATCTCTAATGCAATACTATAATTGATGTGTCAATTATAAATTTAATATTTGAGTGTAAAAAATACTCTCTAATACATTACTATTTGTTATGCTAAATTTCTCATATGCTATACTTTGTGCTAAATTTTCCATCAAATATAGCATATGAAAATTTTGTCATTTTATTGTTATTGGTTGAAATGTTACTTTTTCATGTGATCAATTGCAACTTTTACATTTTCTAATTATTTTAAAAATAAAAGTTTACTTTTACAACTTTCAAAGCTTAATGATTATGAAAAAAAATAGTTTTAAATTTTAAATAGCATTATACATTGGAGTAAAAATGAAAATAACATACCATATCATACTTTTTGATATTAAATATACAATTTGCATTAGTATTTACATTGGAGATTATCTAATAATACGTTTTTTACTTTGAAAAATCATACAAATTATTTTTCAAATATGTATATTTTTTATTATCCCTAAATTTAGAAAACGGTTATATGTCATCCATAAACTTTAAAATATTAGCAACATTGACTGCTTCATCCATTAGATGGAAGAAAACCTTACATGCAACTATTTCATAACTAAAAGTATCTCTAATGCAATGTTATAATTAATGTGCCAATTGTAAATTTAAAATTTGAGTGTAAAAAATACTCTAATTCAATGTTATTTGTTGTGCCAAATTTCTCATATGCTATATTTGTAATGACCCAGCTTCACAAGTTGTTACTAACCATGAACTTTTAGCACAAACAGTTTTCTTCTTCAAGACTCAAATAAAAGAAATACTAAAATTTCAGAAATATTTTTTTTGAAAACTTAATTTAAAATTATCTATCCTTTAAGCATACAAGCTTCAGAATTTACTTAATTTAATCATCAATACAAGTTCAAAACCTAAACATAAGAAATGCAAGATAATGTAATTATGAAGAGTTTCCAATTGCTCTTTAACTTAACATGATTAAACATATACTAGTAAAGTCTTCAAGCATATAACATAGAGACATAGTCATTTAGATCCATTCTTCTAAACCATACTTAATTATGTGAGAAATCTGATTATATGAAAAACATAACTTCAGAATTTAAACTCAAAATAACTTTGTGAAATTCTTTACATGGTGGTATCTGGACCCAAACCACCGCCTTACACGTCCTCTGTCAAGTCCATCACTGAGTCGTAAATTATTTACCTACAACATGAATAACTTGTGAGCTAAAGCTGAGCCAGTACAAATATCCTCATAAAACATTTTGCACACAAAACACATGTAGAAATGCATGACCATTTATGCTCAAATTACATAAATGTATTTTATTATTTTAGGGGACCTATGCTTGTACCCATATGCGCGAGACTAAGAAGAGTGTGAGAGTGACCCAAACATTTAGTCCAACTATCCCAGGGTCATAATTAAATATTTATTACCTCTCATCACATGAGCCCAAGGAAAGTTCCTTGCGTACTCATGTTGGAGGGCGGTATGGTACTTAACATTTCATCATTACTATAGCCTCTTATTTAAGTGAACATGTGATTATGATCATGTCACAAATTAATCATTATAACATACTTTGTTAAGAGGCGATATAATATTAACATCATACTCATTATCTGTGTCACAAAAGTATAATTTTGTAAAGTACTTTAAAGAACACACATTTCATTATGCTCATCAATCACATCACAGAGAATATAAATAAGTGTAAACAAGCAAGCAATTTCTCAAACATAGCATTTTAAAACAATTGATGCTATAAGTTAGGTTTGTACCCACTTGGGTGCCTGCACTTAGCGATTACTCACAGTAACTTTCCTTATAACACAATGATTCTGTTTCAATTTAGTACCAATCATTGACCGTCATTTTATTTTCGAGATTTTAACTTGATTTAACTAAGTCCTATGAATTTATTATCGTTGGCATCCTTAGGATTAATTAATTTATGTACATTTTCTACGTAAATTAACTAATTAAGTTTACTAATTAGTTAACTACCCCTTCCCTTAATTTCTCTTTCACATTTAGATTAATTAATACATTTCATTTGGTTAACTAGTTAATCCTTGTTAAGGTTTCATTAACTGACTTGATTTAATTGCCCTTTACTAAATAATTATTTGTCTTTCTTCCTTAATTAATTAATTAACTCTCTAGATAAGTCACATTAATTAAACTTCTATTAATTTTCTAATAAGTTAATTTTGATTATTTACTTAATTTAATTTCATTAGTTTTTCAGATAATTTTGATTTATTCGACACTTAATTTCTACCATTAATTAATTAATTAATTATCTAATTAAGTTTTACTAATTTCCTAAAAACTTAGAAACTAAGTTTATTTCCCGATGGTATACTTTAAAGTCACATATAGGTTACTCTCTAAATCTAATTGGGCCCTTTCCTGTTCTAAACCTTTTTAAGATTGAGTTGGGTTTTAGAAGTAAGATTCTAACCCTAGAACCTAGTAGGTTTCCTTAATAGTTAACCTACGAGTTACTTTATTCTCTATTGTGCCTTTAATTAGATTGCCTAATCGGTCACCTTTTCACCTAAACGTTACTTTAACTCCTGCTTGGGCTTGTGGGCCTATTTGGACTTCTTGTCATGGTTGGATTAAGTTATGAGTGTTACTGGTCTCTTAGGAAATTCTAAGTTAAGTTTCGGGTTTCCGGTTCTCAAAGGTCGGTTTTACCTCTAGAAAGTTAACGTTTTACACTTGGCGGGTTTTGGTGATTCCAAAATTACGAATCTAAAGAGTTGTTCTTTGACAATAAAATTTAGAAAAAATTTAAACTTAAATTATAATTTTATTCAAATTCATGATTTTTTTAAGTTACAATTTTATTTAAGTTCACGTTCTTTTAAGTTTTAACTTTATTCAACTTTACTCAACTTTATTCAAGTTACAACTTCAACTCAAGTTATAACTCAAATTCAACTCAAAAACTACACTAAAGTCACACTCCAAAAGAACAACCCCTAAAGCATTTATTGTACTAAGTGTTTTGCCTTCAAGGACTTAGAGCTAAAGTTCGGAGCTTAATGTCCATTTGACCATTACGAAGTGACATGATTAATTATTTATGTATTATCAGTAAATTTAATGATATGTAATATAATATGAAAATTTATATGACCTATTAAATATATATATTGTGAATTTTAATATTTGTAGGTAAAACTCATTTAGTTTTCTTCAAAAAAAAGATAAATGGATCAATAAATATGTTAAAAATGTATTAACCATGTTAAATAAATTATTATTATATTAGTTATTTATTTAATATATTAATTTAAACGAATTATACGGGTTGACACGATTAACATGATTAATAAATGAGTCGTGTTTGGATTGACATTTTTAACACGTTTAATAAACAAATTGTGTTTGAGTTAATATTTTCTGACACGATTAATAAATGAATTAACACGAACACGATATACTAATACAAATTGCCACCCTTAATTGGAATGTTAAAGGTCTCGTTCATTTTACTGATTTGAGTTTTACTACAGTAAAAAAATCTCAGGAACCGTCATATTAAACTTTTTTGTTACAGTAAAAAACTCTCATATAAAATCACATCCTAACTCGAATTAAAAACTCAAATTAACGAACTAAATGAGTCATAAATATTTAACTGAACAAGCTTTTTTAACACTAATTTTCAATTATCCTCAAAATAAGACACATTGCAATAAATTTATAAGTTAAAAGGACAATTTATCAAAATTAAAAATTTAAGGAATAATTTGCTAAACCACAACATATTTATTTAGAAGACAAATGTGCTAAAAACTCTAATTTTAAAAATAAATTGAAATGACTTTTATAACTCAAATATACTATTAAGCATTGTAAACGTGCATCACGCGCGAAGCACGTGGATTAGCTAGTTCCTTAATATGCTTCCATAATCCATCCATCAAATAGTTGACAAACAAAAAAAAAACTCTTAACCGAGTAAATATTAAGCAAAAATTAAACCGACAAAAAAGATTTTATAACAAAATGTAAATCTAATAAAGTAGCACCAAAACTTTAATATGAGTTCAACGAAAGCAAATATCAGAAGAGCTAATAGAAAACTGTTCACCCCTTCATAAAAGAAAGTGCCACCGACTCAAGAAATGCGGCCACCGCCTGTCAAGCACCCAATTCTGAGCGCAAGGGAAGGACAGCGACCACATGGAACTAGAACGAGAAAAGTCGCGACTCAAAACAAAACTGACTAAAAAGCTCAATAGTACCACACAATCCAAATAAGCAAAGTCTTTAGGACGACGACAGTAAAAGCATAACCAGTAGTTCCATATTGCACCAATCAAGACGAAAATCTCGGTGCCAAAAGCCAGTCACTTCCCTCCCTTCTTGGCAGCGGACTTGGTGACCTTAGCTCCACTTGGGTCCTTCTTCTCAACGCTCTTTATGACACCAACAGCAACAGTCTGACGCATGTCACGCACGGCAAAACGACCAAGTGGGGGGTACTCGGAGAAGGTCTCCACCACCATGGGCTTAGTGGGAATCATCTTCACCATACCGGCATCACCGTTCTTCAAGAACTTGGGCTCCTTCTCGAGCTCCTTTCCAGACCTACGGTCAATCTTGGTAAGAAGCTCAGCGAACTTGACAGCAATGTGGCAGGTGTGGCAGTCAAGAACTGGGGCATAGCCATTGCCAATCTGGCCAGGGTGGTTCATGATGATAACCTGGGATGTAAAGTTGGCAGCCTCCTTGGTAGGGTCATCCTTGGAGTTGGAGGCGACGTAACCACGCTTAAGATCCTTGACGGCCACATTCTTAACGTTGAACCCAACGTTGTCACCCGGGAGAGCCTCCTGGAGAGCCTCGTGGTGCATCTCAACAGACTTAACTTCAGTGGTTAGTCCAGTTGGTCCGAAGGTCACAACCATACCGGGCTTGAGGACACCAGTCTCAACACGACCCACTGGGACAGTTCCAATACCACCGATCTTGTAAACATCCTGGAGTGGGAGACGGAGAGGCTTGTCTGTTGGTCTTTTGGGCTCCAGAATCTGGTCAAGAGCATCGAGGAGGGTGGGACCCTTGTACCAGTCGAGGTTGGTGGATCTCTCAATCATGTTGTCACCTTCGAAACCAGAGATGGGAACGAATGGGATTTTGTCAGGGTTGTATCCGACCTTCTTCAAGTAAGATGAGACTTCCTTCACAATTTCATCGTACCTAGCCTTTGAGTATTTGGGAGTGGTGGCATCCATCTATAAACAATAACGAAACAAAACAACGATTCAAGAAAATAAATGAATGTATCATATAACAACTCCAGACAAACTGCCCATACAATTTAGAACCACAAAGTTAGAAACAATTTTTAACCAGTAAACAGATATAAGCAAGCGACAAACAAAGAAGACATTATGCAACCTACTAAAGAAGAAGTGGGGAGAGAGAGGGAATCGCACCCTCAATAGTTCAATTTAGAGAACTACACCAACTTGGCTATCTCTCCAAGTAAGAGACAAACATTATCCGATAAAGTGGACCGCTTTCATGGTTTCGGACATAAAGTCCCCAAATGCCAATAGCAGAACTCAACAACAATGCATTTTTACACGAGAGTCCCTTTATCGGGTAGAATGACCACCAACACGAACATAATCAAGCAATATACACACATATATCTATTTATCTACATATCGACTAATAAGATATTACCTTGTTACAGCAACAGATCATCTGCTTGACACCAAGGGTGAAAGCAAGGAGAGCATGCTCACGGGTCTGGCCGTCTTTGGAAATACCGGCTTCAAAACCACCAGTGGTTGAGTCAATGATGAGAACGGCACAGTCAGCCTGTGAGGTTCCAGTAATCATATTCTTGATAAAGTCACGATGGCCAGGAGCATCAATGACAGTGCAGTAGTACTTGGTGGTCTCGAACTTCCACAGGGCAATGTCAATGGTGATACCACGCTCACGCTCGGCCTTGAGCTTGTCAAGCACCCAGGCGTATTTGAATGAACGCTTGTTCATCTCAGCAGCTTCCTTCTCAAACCTCTCAATCACACGCTTGTCAATACCTCCAAGCTTGTAGATCAGGTGACCGGTGGTGGTCGACTTTCCAGAGTCGACGTGGCCAATGACCACAATGTTGATGTGGACCTTTTCCTTGCCCATGATGAATCAAAAACCTGAACACAAAAAAGATAAATGAGAAATCCAATATCAGACCAGGATAATAAGTATTCAACATACTCAACAAAATTAATAATTAATAATCATTACAAAAAGAGACATTGGAGCTGATGGCCTTTTTATGATAGTCCCTACTTTTACAAATTGAAAATAATTATTTTTTAAAAGAACAGATATTCTGTCAAATGTTAACTCATTTAATAAAAAAAAAGTTATCAGTTCTAAATTGCATAAGTTGTTCATCTTGAAATACAGAAAATGAACGTTTAAAATCTCAGAAAACTATGAACCTTCAAATTTGGTAGTTTGGCACATCATAAAAAAGGTGCCAAAAACCGAGACAACAAAACTAGGTAAAACTACAAAACTCATATATAGTTCTGACGGGAAAACGTAAGAACTTATTCAGCCAACGTAAAAAATTCAAGAATAAACACCCAAAAGATCAAAGAAAACCCGGCACAAGTAAGACTCGCAAAGAAATATTTGTCAAAGACAAAATTTTACAAAACAATTCATTCAATAACCAAACTTTTTATCGAAAAAGAAGTTTAACAAATAATTAACGAGTGGACTCATTAGATTAGTACCGCCTAATAAATAGTTTACACAGTCAAAACAAAACATCAAAAATTCAAATAACAAAACATTTTTCTATATCGAAACCCAGAAATGTGAACAAATAGAACAGATCTAAAATAAACGATCAGATCAAATCCTCAAACGGGATTACATTTAATAAAAGCAGGAAATAATAATTCTACGCACAGATCAACAAAATCGAGAGAATGAGTCCTATCGAGTCTAAAACAAATTACCAATAAAAAAAAGGTTCAAAATGCCATAAGATCTGAAGAAATGAAATCAAACATCATCAAAAATCGAAAAGAGAAAAGAATCGAAAAACCATACCTCGAAAGAGAGAGAATTCGGCGGCTTCGCAGAGAGATAATATAAAACCCTAGAGCAGCGAGAGGACAGAGTAAGCGATAGTGTTTGTGAAGGTGCTTACTCCTCTATTTATAGCTCAGCAAAAAAATCTAGGGCTCCTTAGAGAGGAGGAGAATCGCTCGTGGCCTAATTTACTCTTTCACCCCTGAATGGCGAACAGATTTACAATTATACCGTTCTTTCTTGCTCGTTCCTCAAGCAAATAGATAAATTAGGGTCCAAATCATTTGTGAAATGTTTCTTCGTCAATTTAAAATTATGATTTATGATTTTAATTTTTAAAATTTAAGTTTTTTATGATAAAAAAATATTATAAAAAATTAAGAATCATGATTTAAAATTAAAAATAAACTCTTGAAATAAATATCTCATTTATCGATTAGAGTTTAAAATTTAAATTTTACTACAGTAAAAAACTCTCAAGAACAGTTATATCTATTTTTTTTATTATAATAAAAAACTCTTATATAAAGTTACATCTTAACTCGAATCAACGAACAAAACGGTCCCTACATGTAGATAAATTCTTTAAGAGTTTTTCTTGTACTCTTTGAAAAATAAAGAGAAATTTTATTAACACTCTAATATTTTATTAAACCACCCTAATATATTTAAATATTCTAACTATTTTCTTTTCAAAATTAAAACCCTTTATAGTTTCAAAAATACTTCTATGTACGCCCTATATTTCTTCACTTTAAAAAATGGGTTTCTTAAAAGATTTACTTTCTTTTTAAAAAAAAATCTTTTCATTTAAATGCATCAAAAAAACTTTCAATTTGAATTTTTTCTCATCCACGTAATTTATGAAGTTGAATAACAAAAATGCAGGGAGTTTTCTATTTTTTAAAACGATATTGAAATTGACAGATGGTTGAGATTGGCGCGTGCCATTCACACACAGACAGGACACGTTGTGGGAGTAGGTATGGTAGCTTTTCACGTTAGGTGGTGTAACACCCGCTTGAATTAATTGAGATTAATTAATTTAAGTTAGTTGTTAGTGTTAAAAAATTTTAAAATTTGCATTTCAAATTTAGTTATAGTTATTTCATTATAAAATGTTTCACGATTTTAAAAATTATTTTCAAAAATTATAGTTTGACCCCTGACTTTTATATATTTATAATTTTGTCCCAAATATTTTGAACTTTATAAAAAGATCCTTGTTAGATTTTTATACTTATTTTATCTATTATGTGGCGGGAGTGTTTAGAAAAGATAATTTTGAGTTCAAGATCTTATTTACTAAAATTTCTTATAACAAATGCACTTGAGAGGGCATTTTAATAATGTTGCATAATAGTTCCAAATCTGATTTTAAGACCAAAACATCTCACTTCTAATTATTTTATTATCTCTCCTCCTCTCTCTCTCTCTCACGTTCTCTCTCTCTCCCTCACTCTCTCTCTCTCTCTCGGCTCTCCCTCTCTTCCTCCATGAGAGGTGCTGTCCATGCTTCCAAAATAGAGGGTTTTCACTCTATTTTTGATGGGTAATTCAACCTTAAAATTGATTTCAAGATTTGAAGATGGATTTCCATGAGATTTCAAGAAGATTGAGGTAGGGTTTTCTCTTATTTCCTTTTCTAATCCGAAAATTTGATTTTTGTCTTGATGTTTTTCCTTCGCTTAGTGGCTGGATGTTGTGGATTTTAATGTTACAACTTGATTTGATTTTTGAAAAGTTGAACCTTGAGCTTCCCTCCTTAAAGCTAAGTTAAAGGTTGCTTATAAATGTGTTAAATTTCAACCGTGTTCTCAGCCCACATTATTTTCAAATTTAATTACTTGGATTGGCTGCATGTGGACATGGGTGATATGCTTTTAATTTAGGTTCAAGAATGAGTTTGTAGATAAGAAATTCCATCACATATGGCTTGATAAGAACATGCAAACCTCTTTTTGTTCATTCGGATTTGTTTTGAGAATCTTAGAGTTTCGTTGATTGTTGTTGATAGTAGTGTGGTTTAGAGGAGCTCCCTTGGGTCTAAGTTGTGGATGAAGAGTATTGAAGGTTTGATGAAAGAGTTATGTGCGTTCGGTGTTCGATCTATGGTTTTGATGGAGATCCCATCAGCAGCCTAAAGAAAAGTATAAAACTGTACTTGCTTGATGAGTTTTTAATATTTGTTTTGTTAGGATCTTAAACTAGACATCCTAAGCTTTGTATAGCCATAAGAATCACCTCAAATGGACAACTATAGCTCAAGTTATGCATTTTTTAAGTTACGCATGATTTCTGAAAATTCTGTAGAAAAACAGCTACGTTTTGAACTGGTATAATGTGTTTTTAGAGATCTTAATATACCCTAAACTAAGCTTTTGATATCTCTTTGGAAAGCCCTAGATGTCTACTTTGATTAGGCACTGATTTTGTAATTTTCAGGACTGTGTAGAATATTTTATGATTATTTTCGTAACAGCCATCAAAACTGTCTTTTTCTAAGAATTGATAAAATAAAGAACTGAGACCCATACTTTTTGAAATAGGATTGCTGCACCTAAACCACCATTACTACTATTTAGAGCATGTTATTAGTGACGTGTGGGAGTTAGAATCACGTCATTTAGAGTTTTGTAATCCGAGTTGTCCGCATTGAAAATTTCATGTAGAAACTTCCTAAACACAATCAAAACCAAGAAAGAACAGAATTTTGATTTCTTAAAAACTGTTTTCGAGACATTTAGAGAGCTCAGATTTGAGCATATGATAGCTCGTTGGAAAGATTTATGTGTCTACTTTCTTGTGGAGTTCATTTTAAAATATTTGGAGACGTAGATAATAATTTATGTATATTCCCATTAAGGTCGATGAATCTTTTAATTTACTGGATTTATAAATAATATGGATTTGAGTTAGAAATTGATTTATGACCGAACGATTGGTATTTTAGAGCCTTTGTGGTTGTCTAACATTAAGTATGAGGTTCTAAAGGGATTACGATGAAAAGTGTTAAAAGATGATAAAACCAACACTTGATAGCTATGATATCTCAAGGAGATTTAATGGATCTTATTGGAGAATGACACTTTTGCATTGTTGTTTATGAATTCATGGATATTTTATAGATTATTGAACTTCGCATGTTCATTTCTTGAGTTTTGATCTTGTTTGAGCATGAGATTGCATTTCTCTTCCATTTTAGACATATTTCATGGATTTCCACTTCTCGGTGTAAAAATTAGTTTTCACCGATGTTGAGACTTAAAAAATGAATCTGAAAAGTATATTTATATATATATATATAGTGATTATATATATAGAAAACCTTCCCGAAAAGCTAACTTTTGCGAATCATGGTTTTTAGAAGTGAATTTTAGAAAACAGATTAAGTCTCGAGTTGAGATAATTCTAGCATAATATATTTAAGTTTTCAAATGCTATCTAATGAGCATTTTAGATAGTTGGCTTCAGCATGATGGCCTAGATATCGGGATATGGAGATCGTATCCTTAGGGGCAGGTCCTGAAACCCGTACGAGCCACTTTCATAGTGGTGATATCAAGGCTTTGCACTAGATTACGTATCGGTACTTTGAAAGAGCATTTCAAACTACTGGCGTATGATCTTTTTCTTTCTTCTATCTACAAATACTTAGATATCCTAGTATCTAATAGAATTACAAATACCTAGTATTTGTAGACTACTTAGACACCGGGTACCCTATTACTTTTGAAATTGATTTGAAAATGATATAGTATTTTGAAAGAGCTTTCAAATACTTGATTATCTGCTTGACTATACATTTGACTTCACCAGTCATGATTAGGTGTTTTTCACATCTTATCACCTCCTGCATTTGAGTTATGCATTTTATTTTCGATAGTGTTCGAGTCTTTATGATTATTTCACCTTTCTTGTTTTATTGTCGTTATCCCTTGTCCCCCCTATTGGGCATTTGGCTCACCCCTGCTTTAAATGTTTTTCCCCCTCCAAAGTTAGTAGCTTGATTCGCAGCACGGTAAGTTGATGCCAATGGATTAAAGGCTGGAGATTCGAGGTGGTTCGTTTTATTTTGAATTTACAATTTTTAATTCTGAGTTGTATTGTATTTTGTGTATAAACTGTAATGGTTGGCATTATCCCAGAGTTGTATTATTTTGAGAAAAATTATAACTTTATGGACTGTTGTTGTATTATTTGTAAAAGAAAGACTTCGGAGCAATATATTTTGATATTTATGTATTTATTTTCATGATTTTTGTTAATCAATCAAGTTTAATTAAATTAATTTCTTTAATTAAATCTCAATTATCAAGTCCCATCTTTGGGGTCGTGACAGGTGGGCCTACCATTAACTCGCTCTAGCCAACAAACACGTGCCACGTGGCCAGGTTGTCGGCCACCTTCTTTCCTTGCTAGCTGATATGTGGCAAGCTATTTGATTCGATGGCCCACAAGCGGCCCATGCAGATACCACAAAAGAAGCTCGTCAATCAGCGTTTGACATGCGGCAATTCCACAAAAGCGTGCCACACTAAATCTTTTTCACCACCACAAAAAAAAAATTCCAAAGCAAAAAAACTCATTCTCCTTTAGAGGTGTGTATGGGTTAATTTAAACATCCAAAGTATTATTTGTGTTCTTTTAAAACATCTGTTCAAATTTTCTAACCCCGTGAGTTCAGAATCACGATTCATGATTCTGAGTTTGAAATTTAAATTTTTTATGAGAGAAAAATATTATAAAGAATCAAGAATCATGATTCAGAATCAGGGACGAACCCTTGAAGCAAACATCCTATTCATTGATTCAAGTTTAGAATTCAAATTTTATTACAGTAAAAAGCTCTCAAAAACAATAACATCTATTTTTTTACTGCAGTAAAAAGCTCTCACATAAAGTCACATATCAACTCAAATTAACAACTCAAATCAACGAACTAAATGACCCCTACATGTAGATAAATTCTTTAGGAGTTTTTCTCGTACTCTCTAAAAAATAGAGAGAATTTTATTAACACTCTAATATTTTATTAAACCACCCTAATATATTTGCAACGCCCTCTAGAATTAAATATGTTTAATTATGCTAAATTGTGAGTTATTAGTGT